GTGTTAGCCATTTGGGGGTTAGATGTAAACACCACACAGTTCTGATTTGTGTGTATTTAAGGAACACAGCAAAGAGAAAGTTATACGTAGACAAAACAAAGTGTTAGTTTGTCTATTTATTGTCAAAAACACGTGGACCTGTTCAGGTTATCTAATGGTATCAGTGTGAAAATGTGTAGGAAAAATAGGTTGTTTAAAAGTGTGATTCACTGCTAAATCACTGATGTGCTCTTAAATAATTTTACCCAAGAAAATAATTATAGTTTAAAATATTTTTTTTTACTCTGTTGATTAATCCTCTTACACCATTGATTTCTAACTAAAATGAATGATTATTTCCAACACAAGGTGCATATTCAGAAGTGATCTGTGTGAAGACTGTCTTTTGAAGGTTTATTCATATTAATCTGCTGGTGCCTGTTGATCAGTTCATCTGCCCTATGAAAAAAATAAAATGAAAAAAGATTAACAACAATGTGACGAAAATGTCAGAATTAGGTGAGATTTTTATAAATACACAATCTTCTTCATTTGGCTTTTCTCTTTTCAGGGGTCGCCACAGTGAGTCATCCTCCTCCATCTCTGTCCTCTGCATCCTCTGTCCTCACTCCAACTACCTCCATGTCCTCTCTAACTGCATCCATTTATTTTCTCTCTGCCTTTTTCCTGGCAGCTGCATTTCTAACATCCTTCTACCAATATACCCACGGTTCCTCCTCTGGACATGTCCAAACCATCTCAGTCTGGCCTCTCTAACTTTATCTCCCAGTTGTTCAACCTGTGCTGTACCTCTGATGATCTCATTCCTAATCTTATCCATCCTTGTCACTCCTAAGGAGAATCTCAACATTTTCATTTCTGCCACTTCCAGTTCTTTCTCCTGTCTTTTTGTCATTGCCACTGTCTCCAGACCATACAACATACTGTAGCTGGTTTCACGAAATGTCTTGTAAACTTTTCCATTGACCTTTGATGCCACTCTTTTGTCACAATCCTGAAACTTTTCTCCAACCACTCCATCCTGCATGGACTCTCTTCTTCACCTTTTTACCACATTCCCCATTTTCCTGGACAGTGGACCCCAAGTACTTGAAGTCCTTCACCTTTGTGACTACAGCTCCTTGTAGCCTCACTGTTCCACCAGCCTCCCTCTCATTCACACACATGTACTCTGTCTTACTACGGCTGACTTTCATTCCTCTTCTTTCAAGTGCATACCTCCACCTCTCTAAGTTCTCTTCCACCTGTTCCCTGTTCTGACCACAGAGCACAATGTCATGCAAACATTAGAGTCCATGGGGATTCTTGCCTGACCTCATCTGTTAGTTTGTCCATCACCAGATCAAACAAGAAGGGGCTCAGAGCCGATCCTTGATGCACTCCCACCTCCACATTGAAGCTATCTGTCACTCTTACAGCACATCTCACCACTGTCCTGCTGTCTTCATACATGTCCTATACTAGCCTAACATACTTAACAACCACAATGACAACAACAACAATATTGATAAAACATTTTAATTGAAGGCGCCTTTCAAGGCACTCAAAGGCACCACAGTAAAAATACTATGTAAAATGCAGTAAAAAGAAAATCACAATATAAACAGCATAAATAACCTAATATAAATACAGTTGGTGTCACAAGGAGGTTATAACGTGATTATGCATTCTTAAAGAAGAGAGTTTTGATGTGTGATGTGAAAATGGAGAGTGTGGGAGAGGTTTTGATGTCCAAGAGGAGAGAGTTCCAGAGGTGGGATGCTGAGTAACTGAATGCTCTTGAGCCCATAGTGGTCATATGAGCAGGTGGTGGGGTGAGTTGGGTGGAGGAGGAGGACCTGAGAGTGCAAGTGGATGTGTTTGTTGGTGTGGAGGAGTACTGTGAAATACTGAGGAGCAAGGTAGTTGAGGGCTTTGAAGGTTAGATGCAAAGTTTTTATGAAATGCAACATTTAACAGGAGCCAGTGAAGATGCTGCAGGACAGAAGTTGTATGACTGCTGGAAGGGATTTTGAAGATTAGGGCTGAACAATTAATTGCATTTGCAATAATATCGCAATATGATGAAACGAGATTTTCTAATCGTAAAGGCTGCAACTTGACTAGTCACTGATCTGGGTATGTGACTTGCGAGTGAGCGGAGCAAAGCAGAGCAGGGAGCTGGAGAAGTCAACACTGCGCTTTAACTGGTTGCACAATGTCATCAGGCTCGACAGAAGCTGACACATCTGAAAGTTTGGTACCAAAGAGGAGCAGCACGTCTGTCGTTTGGAATTATTTTGGCTATAAAAAAAGAAGACGCTGTGCAATGACAAGTATTGTGCGGAACCTGCCTTGCTGCTGTTGCTACCTCTCGAGGTAACACCACAAATCTTGATGAACACTTAAAAAAACACCACAAAGCCATTTACGATAGTTGCATGACTAGAATGCCAACGACCAGTGCTTCAACTTCAAGTAAGCAAAGTATCAGCCGACAGGGATCACTGACTGAACTGTTCCAAGGTACTACGAACATAATTCGAAATGGTACGCGGAAATAACTCAAGCAGTAACGGAGTTCATAGAGAAAGACATGATGCCTATTAATATAGTGACCAAGCCTGGGTTTATAGCTTTGGTAAACACAGTGGATAAGTGCAACAGAATGCCCTCGAGCACACATTTTAGCCAAGTTGCTATCCTGTAGCTACACAAAAAAATGCATTAACAGAGTTGCTGTTGAGCTGAAAACAGTGGAGTTTTTTGCAACTGAAACAAATTTATTGCTTGTGTTCATTGAAAAATACATAAGAAGAAGACACTGAAAAATAATTGCATATTAAATCGCAATCGCAATACTGAGATTAAAAAAAAATCTCAATTAGATTATTTTTCAAAATTGTTCAGCCCTACTGGAGATGATGCAAGTGGCAGAGTTTTGGACCAGTTGGAGTTTAAGGATAGATTTTGCTGCTAAACCAGAAAGGAGGGCACTACTGTAATCTAGGCAGAAGAACGGGATGACGTCACACGCGCCTACCTGATCTGATCACAGTAGAGGAAAATTCAAAATGTCGGCGGTGTGGAAGTTTATTTTTCATTGGTGAGGATGTCAGATTTTGAAGATTTTTAGACTACAGTGAGCCTCGCTACATCGTCCCCAGTCGGAGATATTTTTCCAATGTAGCCTTACCCGAGTTACAAGCTGTCATTTCTGCCGTCATTGAGATGCTAATAACTGATAGCACTGGGGTGAGTTTTATCACAGACATTTGGACGTCAAGTGTTAGCCCCATTAGCAAGATTAGTCTTACGACACAATGGATAGGCAAAAGCTTTGAACTTAAAAAGACTGTCCTTCATGCACAGGAGTGCAGAGGATCCCACACTGCAGCTAGGAACCTGGAACAAGCCTCCACAAGTGAGACAGCATCACAGGTGACTAATGCTAATAAATAACATTTACTTTTCATTTACTATAAGTTAAAGTGCTATGCATATCATATGGCTGTTACTGATTATGTCACCAGCTCTTACAGCTGTTACACAAATTTTGTAGCAAATAAGCCTAAATAAGTGGGATATGTTCTGACAAAGGAAAGTATATAAAATATCGGTATCTGTTATCGGCCAAATAAGTTTTAAGATATCGGCATATCTACCAAAAATCCAATATTGTGCATCCCTAATAAAGTACAATGTGAAAAGACAACCATTAGTTTTGATCTGTAGATGTTTCTTATATGAAGCACTTAAATGGATGTGCGTGCAAAGAATTATGTACAAATTCCTCTATGTTAAAAATGGGCAAAGTCTAAGCTTAAAAAAATGTTAGGTTTGATGATGAGAGAACTTTAATGGTGAGGAATACAACAGAAAAGCACTTGTTCATTTACAGATTTTGTACTTTTAAAGTTCAAACTTTTATGACAACACAGCTGATAAATGTTTATGTTTTAAAAGATCATTAATGTTTTAATTAAAAAAAAAACAGAATTATTGATAGTGTGAATATTGATGAGGTAGCTGTCTGTGTTTTGTTCTGGTGCAATCTGCATAGTTTTAAACCTCACATATTTTCATTAGTTATTGTCACTTGTCATCAGAATAACTGTAATGTTATTTCAACCTTACAGCCTAGTAATTTAAAGCAGATGCTGCTCGACTCCACTTGTAACCTTTATCTTAATACAATCTGTGTAATGGTTCAGATAATTTGTTATCAGTTTAAAATGTGACTGTAGTAGTTTATGTTGTCCACCAAAGGGCTCCAGTGCTTGTTCAAAGCAAGACAGGAAATGATGTCACCAGTAACTGTCAACTTGGAAATGGAAGGCTTTAGCCTGCCAAGCTATCCTTAGCTTTAGTTGCTGTTTCTGACTGAAAACAGCCCCAAATACAACATCATCACTATTTCCCTCAGTTAAACAGCACATTTATCATTGAACAGTGCCTCTTTGTAAAACTGTAAGTTACCACGTCTGTACTTGGTACTTACAGTGTACATACTTGATACATATCTGGAACCTATAAGGACCAGGTGTTATTATAAAGTGACATTAACATGTATTTACAGGGTATGTATCCAATATACCAGGTACTTTCCTGGTACATACCTTGTGCATACATGGTACATACCTGGTATATACAGGGTACGTGGCTGTTTCTTCCAGGTTATGTACTTGGTACTTTCCTGAGTGCTACCACGTTATCATCTTAGTTATGTTCCCAGTAAGTACCAGATATGCTCTCGATAAGTACAGCATAATAAATCACTTTGTAATACAGCTTGGTCCCTGTAGGTACCAGGTATTAATCCGGTATGTATCGGGTACATACTGAGATATATTGCTGTATGAATTGCTACCCTTAATTCTGTTAATCCCAACTTGCCAATAATGCAACTATTATAAGTCTTAAACTGGTGATCTACCTCTTGCATCCCTCAAGTCTAAATTCAGTAAAATACAGAATTAAAGTAATTTGTAGTTGTAAAGAAAGTATTTGTTGTACCCTACCTGGCAATCCTTTTGCCCATTTGACCACTTTAACCAGTTGACGCTCTCCCAGCTCGTTCAGGCTGGTGAGCAGGCTGGCAGCAGAGTCTGGCTGGCCACAGTCATGTCCTGCGTTCACCACCTCGGGCTCAATGGACTCCAGGATGTTGAGGAAAACCAGCTGGGAGTTAAAGTTTGGACCCGTCTTAGGAGAAATGTGGGGCACTTCTGCTGGTTCCTGAACACAATGATCCTCCTCCAGGTTCTTCTGTTGTCCAATTTTCTTTAGTTTACGCGCTACAGGTGGAGAAAAAGGAGAAGAATATCATTTTTTTAATTGAAAAGGTACAATTTTACTAACAATAATAAATGTTGTTTGCCTACATCTTTGAAGGAGATATATGAGCCATAATGAAGTCTTCCAGATGGAAGACGAAACATTTCTCCCTTAAAGAAACTGACCCAGATGACATGATTTAACCTTTTTTGTTGTTATCTACCTGGATGATTGAGACTACAAACTATTTTATCATAATGAAGTGGGTTCAGAGGAAAGTTTATACACAACAAATCTCTTACCTGTGGTACATAGCTGTTTGATTGACTTTAGTTGATAGAAAAAAAATTGAATTTGAACACACTGACAAGTTAATGGCTTGTTTAAGTGCAGCCAATACCGAAGTGGATTCCTGTCAACTTATACAGACTTCTCTAAATACTCTTGTCACAAGACCTCCATTTACAATAGTTAATCTGCATGGTTACTTTCATAGAAATTATATGGTTATTTAACAAGCGTAAACAAAGGTAGCAGTTAGCTGTAGCCCTTCTGATGCAGCCTGGAGAACTTTTTTTTTTTCCAAAATAATGTAATAAATTTAAAATAAACGTAAATAACCATGCAATGTGAAATTGACAGTAATGTACAGGTTTATAGAAAAGTTTGCATTAAACTCTATAAATCTTTTAAGAGATTTTGACAGGAATTCACTTATTTTTGGGCTAGCCATTGGTTGTTCATTCAACCTTTATTTATACAGGTTAGTCTCATTGAGCCACGAGAACTCATTTTCAAGAGAGACCTGTTTGGGGAGCAGATGGGGGGTTAAGGGCCTTGCTCATGGGCCCAGAGTGGGGTGAATAAGGATGGGGGCAGGTGTGGATGCTTCACCTACCCCACCCACATTTTTGATGTTGTCAGTACTGGGGCTTGAACCGGCGATCTTATGATCACAGGCCCACCTTCTCTAATCTCTGCGCCACCACTCCCCCTATATATAAAGCAAAATAAAAAACATTCTACATTAGGGGTTGAACGAGTATATAAATTTTAAACTCGACATTAACATAATAAAACCCAAGTAGAACTCAAGTATTTGATGATGTCATAGATCTCAAGATACAAAAATAAATAAATAAATAAATAAAACCGCAAAAAAAGGTATTTACAAAAAAAAAGACCAACAAAACATTGGGAGCGTTATGCTCCTACCATTTATCATACTGCAAATAAGTCACAGGAAAAACTAAACTATTAGTTATTATTATTAAACTGCAAACGTGAAGAAACATGCATCACGTCAAAAACGAAACTTAAACCGAAACTGATTCTGGTTCGGTGGATTGGACCCGGTGTTACACCATACTCTGTGACCTGCAACAGTGCAACACCGCCCCCTACAGTCATACGGTGGTCACATAATATGACGTCACTACGGATACTCGATGTTAAATTTTTAACCTCGATAGATGTCCTAGCAATCGATGTGTAGATTACTCGAGTACTCTGTTAATGCCCTATTCTACATTATAAAGCCGTGTAAAATAATAAACACAGGGACATGCCTGCCTTGACTTTTGCAATGAATTTAACAATAGTTTAAAATTCCTTATGGAGATCAAAGTCGAGAGTTTCAGATCTTTTTGTAAGGTGTTCCAGGTTACAGGGATGGAGTAAGAGAAGGCCCTATTGCCAAATTTGGTCCACACTGATGGGACACTGCAGGTAATGATGTCTTGGAAATGCACGCGGTAGCTGCACTGACGACATGACATGTAGGAAGAGGTATATGAAGGTATCAAATCAAGAAGTGATTTAAAGATGAAAATGTACCAGTGAGAGAGTCTGCGTGAAATTGATGTCCAGTTAACCAGTGAATACAGTGCAGTGATGGGTGCAGTAGTTACAGCCAGTAATGACTCTTAACGCACCATGATAAACAGCATTCAACATCTGCAAGGTACTTTCAGGAGCATTTATGTAAATAATGTCACCATAGTCAATGTACAATCCGGATTCCAAAAAAGTTTGGACACTAAACAAATTGTGAATAAAAACTGAATGCAATGATGTGGAGAAGGCAAATGTCAATATTTTATTTGTAATATAACATAGATGACAGGTCAAAAGTTTAATCTGAGTAAATGTAACATTTTAAAGGAAAAATATGTTGATTCAAAATTTCACAGTGTCAACAAATCCCAAAAAAGTTGGGACAAGTAGCAATATGTGGCTGGAAAAAGGAAATTGAGCATATAACGAACAGCTGGAAGACCAATTAACACTAATTAGGTCAACTGACAACATGATTGGGTATAAAAAGAGCTTCTCAGAGTGTCAGTGTCTCTCAGAAGCCAAGATGGTAAGAGGATCACCAATTCCACCATTGTTGCGCAGAAAGATAGTGCAGCAATACCAGAATGGTGTTACCCAGCGTAAAATAGCAAAGACTTTTAAGTTATCATCATCAACCGTGCATAACATCATCAAAAGATTCAGAGAATCTGGAACAATCGCTGTGCGTAAGGGTCAAGGCCGTAAAACTCTACTGGATGCTTGTGATCTCCGGGCCCTTAAACGTCACTGCACCTCAAACAGGAATGCCACTGTCAAGGAAATAACAGAATGGGCTCAGGAATACTTCCAGAAAGCATTGTCAGTGAACACAATCCACCGTGCCATCCGCCGTTGCCAGCTGAAACTCTACAGTGCAAAGAGGAAGCCATTTCTAAGCAAGCTGCACAAGCTCAGACGTTTGCACTGGGCCAGGGGTCATTTAAAATGGAGTGTGGCAAAATGGAAGACTGTTCTGTGGTCAGATGAGTCACGATTTGAAGTTCTTTATGGAACACTGGGACACCATGTCATCCGGACCAGAGAGGACAAGGATAGCCCAAGTTGTTATCAACGCTCCGTTCAGAAGCCTGCATCACTGATAGTATGGGGTTGCATGAGCGCTTGTGGCATGGGCAGCTTGCATGTCTGGAAAGGCACCATTAATGCAGAGAACTATGTTCACATTCTAGAACAGCATATGCTCCCATCTAGACGTCATCTCTTTCAGGGAAGACCCTGCATTTTTCAACACAATAATGCCAGACCACATTCTGCAGCAATCACAACATCATGGCTACGTAGGAGAAGGATCCAGGTACTGAAATGGCCAGCCTGCAGTCCAGATCTTTCACCTATAGAGAACATTTGGCGCATGATAAAGAGGAAGGTGCGACAAAGAAGGCCCAGGACGATTGAACAGTTAGAGGCCTGTATTAGACATGAATGGGAGAGCATTCCTATTTCTAAACTTGAGAAACTGGTCTCCTCTGTCCCCAGACGTCTGTTGAGTGTTGTAAGAAGAAGGGGGGATGCCACACAGTGGTAAAAATGAACTTGTCCCAACTTTTTTGGGATTTGTTGACGCCATGAAATTAGGAAAAAACAGATTTTTCCCTTAAAATGATACATTCTCTCAGTTTAAACTTTTGATCTGTGATTTGTGTTCTATTCTGAACAAAATATCGACATTTGCCATCTCCACATCATTGCATTCAGTTTTTATTCACAATTTGTTTAGTGTCTCAACTTTTTTGGAATCTGATTTGTATGAAAGGAAACAAGGCATTTCCTAGCATTCAGAGTTAGATAGTATCCATTTCTGAAAAATAAACCCAGTTTTACTTTCAATTTCTTTACCAAATTTTCGACACATGGCTTAAAAGAGAGATGTGCATCAACCAAGACTCCCAAGTATTTACAAGAATCAACAAACTCAATAGGAACACCATTCATGATACGATAGATGGAAGGACTGCTGGTACTGACTTTCTGTTGAAAAACAACATCCCTTTGGTTTTATCAGCATTTATCAGCACCAGTTTGAGACGGAACAAATCTGACTGGATGATGTCGAATGCAGACTGTAAAAGCTGGAAAACCTTAGCAACTGTTTTAGCTCGACAATAAACAACTGTGTCATCATCAGCATAGAAATGTAGGGGCGCATCAAGAATGATCTGACCTATATTAATGATGTAGATTGTGAAGAGGGTGGGACCTAAGACTGAGCCTTGTGGTACACCATTATTGACAGTTAAATAGGTGGAAGAAGTACCATTATGTTGAACACAATGCCTTTGATCTGAGAGGTAAGAGGTTTGTCAATTTATTCAGAGTTGAAGCCGATTCGTCTGATCGGAGGTAGTTCAAAGAGCAAGAACACAATAACTGTCCAGAAGGTTTCCATCGAACCCCACTTTAAAAGATCTGAACTATCACTTTAAGTGAAAAAACAGTGAATTCTAAAACCAACACTTTATGTGACCCAAGGAAATCTCAATAGTTTGACTCTTTTTGGTCAAGCAGTTCAACTAAGACATAAAATATATCTTGGCTTCTCAGCAATGGGATACAATCACTCAAAAACTCTGCAAAATTAGCTTGTTCTATAACAAATATGTGAATATGTTTCTCCTCATGCCTTTGTTCATCATAAATGTGTCATCGTTTCATTAACTAAAACAAGCAGCATGTTAATGCGGCATCATAAAGTTATTTCTTCAGCCAAGGAGCTGCCCAGTTTTGGTGCGTATTTGGGTGAACTGTAGCTGGTACCACTCGGTCTACGAGGCTGTAAGTGAAGGGTGATTTAAAAAGGTTTTATCAGATCTGCCTCTCCTATTTTTTTTTCCTGTCAGACTGACAGACACAATACTCCAGCTTACCCTTACAAGAACGCAATTTTCATTGTAGAAATAATGAGGTAATGACATCCATGAGCCTGAACACCAAAGTGAGAGTGAAGTGACATCTGCAAAGTCATATATTACACACAAAAGGCTTTTTGTAAGGGAAAGATTTAACAGATCTTTGTGAGATTTTTTTAAGCAATCAAGCATCCCAAGAAGACAGATGTGATAAAGATGTAGATTGTAATCGTGATGAAACTGGTAAGAGAAGATGGTGATCTGAAATGAGGAAAAAACGGATGATAAGCTGCATGTGTGCAATTTGATTCTGC